AGAGAGAGAGAGAGAGAGAGAGAGAGAGAGAGAGAGAGAGAGAGAGAACACACACACACACACACACACACACAGAGAAGACACACACAAATATCAATGATTACGTTTTTGGTGAGTCCTGACCTTTCTGCGATTAACACTCATGAAACTAATGTATAACTTACTAACCTCTAGATCATCATCATCCGTTGATAAAAGCTCAAAGTCTTCCGGGACCGTCAGGGACAGACCAGCTGGTCTTTGGTATATAGTGGCAATCTCTTCATTCTCGGACTGTAACGCAAAGCCATTAACGTAAAGCCATTATTTTTGGTGTCGTTTGTAGTTGTAAGTAAAGTTATATAACATTTGTAGTAAGAAAAGAGACACACTGATGAAGAATCAAAGTCGATGGTCGGTAGATGTTGTTTCACTTTCTCCAGAATGTCCATTACTACCGGTAAAACGAAGGATTTTGTCCGGTAACGTTACCGTTTATCTGCCACCTCACTTGAGACTCCTTAGTTACCCTGGCAACGGAAAGCTTCGGAGTGCACGTGTGCTTCGCGTGGCGCTTCGAGTGTCGTCAACAGTGTTGCCTTCAGGTGCTTTAGGAAATATTGCAAATAACCCATTTGACAGGAACGTGTTTTACACCTGAACAGGTGATTAGCCCACAGGTGAGATAGATAGAGAGAGAGAGACGTGTTGTTGGAGGTAGGTTAGGCTCAGTAGACTGCACAAATATAGTGTATAAACATTAGTAAGGTCAAGTATGTGCACATGAGGGCATTGTGGCTTGTTGAAATGCAACTTGAATTCTCTCGCGCTAAAAGGAATATAGTGCAATCAGCAAGCTATCGTTTGCAGGTGCTGCATCAGCCGTGAGTTGAGGCAACTGTTGAGAGGTAATATTACATATACTCTGTTCCTATTCAAGTACTTTCTTTTTTTTTTTTGCTATATCAGTTTTGTTCTGTGAACTTTTTTCATTTGACTTGATAAGAGACATTACTGTGTGTGTGTGTGTGTGTGTGTGTGTGCGCGTGTATACTGTGGTTAAGATCATCCGTCCCATGATGTTAAAGAAATGAATTCCCTGTGGGTAAGTTGCATTGAACATTTTGAAAAGAAAGTGAAGGCATACATGTTTTAAAACATTTATTGTGCGTTGAAGACGATTTCCCAACAGTGTATTTAAGTGACAAACATGGATCATTACTACACCAAGTAATACACACATCTTGAAGACATTTTAGTTTCTGAGCTGTACAGATATGTCTTCCTGCCGGTAATGTTTGCCCAATCACGTGAATTATCGACCAAATTGGGATTCATACTGTAGCTTAATGGGCTGAACTTAAAATTTTGGAAAATGCCATTTCAGTTTTTCATTTCAAATTGTAGGCCTATATGCCATGGTTTTACCTGCTCCCTATTTAAATTGTCCCAAAATGCTCATGAAAAAGGCATGTTCAATGACATGAAGGGATATCTAAAATATATTTTAGAATATATCAAAAGATTTTAAAAATGCATTAAAGCTATACCTCAACATGTTTCCATGTCAAACAACCCCTCCGGGTAATCTGATTGGTAGAGGTTTGTGCCGTCGATCATACTCCTAAATATAAACTAAATCATCTTAAAGCATTTGAGGTGGATTGAGACAAACTCCTTTAATTTCTCCCTTCTCTGCAGAGAGTCAACAATGTGCCTGCTGCAGTTGCATGTAGTTAAAGCAAAATATGTCTGTTTATCTTTTCATTGAAAGGAATTCATAGCATCTTTAAAATATTTTGGATCCATTTTATCTAAAGGCTACAGATGACAACATTTATCTGTAAACAGTAAATGTGGAACCTGAATCATGCATTCGTATTACAATTTAAAATCTTGAAATGAGAAACTGGAAGCATATACTGTACATTGTTGAAACTATTACAGATTACACCAACCAGATCCCTTAACACATCTGTGCGTGTTTGTTTAGCAGCTTTGGAAGAGTTCGCTGTCTATATCTCGCAGGTCCTGACCAACTAGACGCGGTGGGCTGGTGCATGTAATGTTGTTGAATATGGTGATGGTTGTGTCGGGCTCTTCACCCTCTGCGTGAGTCTCCACCTGCCGAGGAATCACCGATGGATTCCTCAAGCTGTAGTTTCTGAGTGGGAGGGCACTGCAATCGCATTTCCACCGGTTCCAAGATAGCAAAAGTTTTTCCATACTCTCTGGAAAATCAGGGACCATGCTTGTCAAGGTATTATCTCTCAGGTCCAGATAGCGTAGTCTTGGGAGTAGCTGCGTTGTGCCATTCTGCAAAAATTGTCGACATTCGTTGTTGGACAACAGCAAGTACTCCAAATTCTTAAGGCCAGAGAATGTATGGGTTGTTAGAACCTCCAACTTGTTGAAACTCAAGTCCAGTCCCGATAGGCCCACCAGGTCAGCAAAACTCTGGTGTTCTACCTCAGAGATGTTGTTGTGTTGCAAGAAAAGCCTCCGTAAACCAGAGAGTCCAGTGAAAGCTTGAGTTGTGACTCTTGCTAGGCAACCTCTGTCCAGATGAAGGCTGTGAAGCTTTGACAGACCTTTGAACATTTGGTCGGGCAGAATGTGGAAGCAACTTCCAGACAAGTTGATGACAGCAATATGAGAGAGCCCAGTGAAACTACCCACTTGTGCCTCCTGCACTTGGTTGTGCTCTAGCTCTAGAACCTCCAGATGACCAAGCCCCTCGAAGATCCTTTCCCCCAGGGCTCGGATCCTGTTGTGGCTGAGTCGCAGCTCTTCTAAATACTGCAGGTCACGGAAAGTCCTGGGCCTGATTCCAGTGATTGAGTTGTTGGAAAGACGCAGCACGTGAAGACTATGCAGGCCCAAGAAAGTGTCGTCATGGAGAGCAGTCAGTCTGTTGTTTGTGAGATCCATCCATCGTAGTGACTTCATGCCTACAAAGGCTCTGGGTGCCACTGTCACAATCTGATTCTGGGCCAGGTAGAGCTTTTGCAGTTTAGTTAGTTTAACAAACACATTAGCTTTGATGACCTTGAGGTGATTTCCAGTCAGATCCAACTCTTTAAGCTCAGCAAGATTTTGGAGAAGCTGTGGCTGCAGGTAAGCGAGTCTATTCCCTGCGAGAACAAGCTCCCGCAGACCTTGCAGGTCGTGGAAAGCTGTCTCAGGTAAAACTGCTAATGAGTTCCACCCTAGGTTTAGAAGCCACATGTGTGAGAGTCCTGCAAACAGTCTTTCTTCAAGACGAGTGAGTTGGTTGTTATGCAGACTAATTGCGGCTATGTTGGGTGTATTCTGGAAGATCGTACCTGGTAACACCCGGAGGCGATTTCGCTCAAGGTGAATGTGTGCAAGCGACGGAAGTCCTTTAAAAGCCTGAGGGTCAAGTGTCACCAGCTCGCCACTCTGCAGATTCAAAAAGTCCAGGTTAGACAGATCCTTAAAAGACGACGCTGGGAGGGAGGTGAACAGGTTGCCATCCAGCCAGAGGGAATGAGTAGAGACGGGCATGTCCAATGGGACTTGTGTGAGGTTACGAGCACTACAGTACATGTTGAGCTCCAAGCTGTAGTCATCATGCAGACAGGTGCATCCTTTAGAACATGGAATGGGATCTTCGGCCACTTTCTCTCCAGCTGTGTCGGGGTCTGGCAACACCAGTGATGTTCCCAGTACCCACAACACCAACAGCACAATGGTTTGCATACCGGCTGTGGATAGAATATTAAAATATAAATACTCACTAAGTTCACTCCAGAATTTAGATGTTTAGATTGTTTTAATGCTGTATGGTCTACATTATATTGCTTACCTTGAGTATGAGAGGTCTTGATTCAAGGCGGACAGGCTGTGAAGCACTGAATGACTGAACCTTGTGCAATTGTTTGTATGCTGAATGGAAAGTTTGCCAAGCCCCCAAAGCCTTTTTTTTTTTAAAGTAGGTTGCACTGAATATGTATATTTAACCCATGCATGTCCACTAGACCTGTTTTGAAATCTTTTTTCATGTACAGACCTTTTTTCACAGAGGTTCATATTTATCATATCAACTTTGATAATTTTGATACAATAATCTAATGTCCTTAATGATTGTACTGTTAAGTCTGTAAAATGAGAACTGCCTCAGTAAAGGTGTTGGCCATACTTAATTAAGTTTCTAAAAAGTATTTGCAGTTCCTGTATGTCCATTATTCTTAATAAATGTCACATATATTTTATTGTCAAACAAACTAATAAGGCCTTTGGTGTTTACTAAAGCCAGGGTCCTGTCACGGAGTGCATTTGCTGTAGTTTTAAACTGATGCACAGATATGGTGAAGAGATACGACGGACCCAGTGCACCAGACATTTGACTGAATTCATGATTTTCTTTTTTCTTATATTGAACCTGATAACAGGCACATTTAACACGGGGTAATATGAGGCAAAATTGTATTTCACTTGTTACCTCAAACTTGGAAGTGTATTTCTCATATTAAGTATTCTCTGAGGACCACAGTTGTGAAATTGTAACATCTTTTTGAAACTGACTAGTGGCACCTTTTCCTGACTGAATGAACAAACGCTGTATATCCCAATACCGCAGACTCTAAACTAATCACAGCAACATTTTTGGTCCAAAAATAGTAATACTGTAAGACATACTACTCTAAACTCTACACTGGAAAAAAAAGACTTTTTGGCCCTGTAATTATTACCTCGATTATTTTTGTAAATTTTACAAGAAATTATCATTCCAGTGCTTTTACTTTAAAATATCACCTTTTATCTAATGTATCTTGTAATTATGTATCCTCATTTTTATAAGTACATTTTAATCATTCACACTAAGTAATATCTACTAAACTACTGTATTGAATGCACTACCTGACACAACAAAGTAAAATGTACTTGAGTAATACGAGTAAAACCTGGTAACCTATAGCGCGTACTCAGGGGGTGACGTCAGAGAAGATTTCGCGCTCCTTTATTCAACGAGACGACGGAACAGCAGAACCTGAACAAAGACGGCAGCGTTTCACCTGAGGAGAGGAACTTCATGGACGGGAGCCATTGGGGTAGGTTATATGTTTAATTAATGCTCTACGTTGCTGTTGAGCCTTCGGTCAAGTCTGTGTTTGAGTTGTGAACACTGAAGAGTAGCGAACTGGTCAGTTTAGCGTGCTAGCTAGTTAGGCTATCATGCTAGCTAACTTGGGACAGCATTACAGACATGGCTCACGGCGCTACATTTTCTGGACATGTTTTTGGTGGTTTTGGTCACGATTTTACAGGGTTCTCCCTTGAAAAGTTGTTGGCCTGGGGACACGGTGCTCGACCAGCTGCGCTCCGTCGACGAGGGGGAGGGGGAATTACTTCGGTTTTGTGAAGCCAACTTCTGCCACACAGGTGCTTTGCTGTGCTGAGTCACACGCACAGCGTGCTTTCTCTCGGACATCCTCAAGCGCAGCCGAGGTCGAATGAGGGAAATGTGACAAGACAGGGAATCATAGCTAAGCAGCAACAAGCACACTGGTCATGTGCTAAAAAATATCCCATACGTGGTGGAATTAGTGACTTTAGAGCGAGTCTAATACACCTAACATTATTTTGTCACTATCATATTCTAACATATTTTTAAAGTAACTTATATTTCTGTCATTAGTTTTAAACTGGTCTCTTATGTCTCTATCCAATGTGGTGTCCTTGATGATTAAGGCTTTGGGCATGAAACAAGGTGCCAGTACTGTGTTGAGTTAGTGTCGCATATCAACATGACCAGGTCTGCTGTGTATCTCAGTATTAACGTTATGTTGGCTTGTTTATGTGCTGTTTTTCTGTGTGGGGATAAAACATGCTATCAATATGAAGATTTAAGCCAAATTCAGATTTAATGTTGTGTGTTCATGTTTTAACATCATTTCTTTATATATTTCACAGAATATTAAAGGACGTTCACTCTCAGCAAGTTGACATCAACAGTTGACACAAGGTAAAATCAACTTAGTACTGTTATAGTTTAATTAACTTGACATATACATTTGAAGTCATATTTTGTGTTGCAGTCAATAGTACATTATACTGGGAGGACTACTGCATTAATTGTTTTAGCAAGGTACCTCATCTTGATGTTTTTTATTGTCTTTTGTTTCAGATCAATGAGTTCAGAAGAATAACCACAGTTCATCTGGAGCAAAACTTTTTGTCGAAATTGGACAATTGCACTACCAACTTTCTGGAGATACTTGGGACAAAGGGTGGAGTTGCAGGAACAAAGACCCATGCTGGAATCACCCAGCCTGGTAAAGTTTAGATATCTAATATTATATAAAATTATGTTGGGCTCATATGCACTGAGAATACAGTTGTGTGAAAAAGTGTTTGCCCCCTTCCTGATTTCTTATTTTTTTGCACGTTTGTCACACTTAAATGTTTCAGACCATCAAACAAATTTAAATATTAGACAAAGATAACACAAGTAAACACAAAATGCAGTTTGTAAATGAAGGTTTTTATTATTAAGGGAAAAAAAAACCAAACCTACATGGCCCTGTGTGAAAAAGTGATTGCCCCCTAAACCTAATAACTGGTTGGGCCGCCCTTAGCAGCAACAACTGCAATCAAGCAATCATGAACCGCCTTTTTAAGGTCATGCCACAGCATCTCAATCGGATTCAGGTCGGGACTTTGACTAGGCCACTCCAAAGTCTTCATTTTGTTTTTCTTAAGCCATTCAGAGGTGGACTTGCTGGTGTGTTTTGGATCATTGTCCTGCTGCAGAACCCAAGTGCGCTTCAGCTTGATGTCACGAACAGATGGACGGACATTCTCCTGCAGGATTTTTTGGTAGACAGCAGAATTCATGGTTCCATTTACCACAGCAAGTCTTCCAGGTCCTGAAGCAGCAAAACAGCCCCAGACCATCACACTACCACCACCATATTTTACTGTTGGTATGATGTTCCTTTTCTGAAATGCTGTGTTACTTTTACGCCAGATGTAATGGGACATACACCTTCCAAAAAGTTCAACTTTTGTCTCGTCAGTCCACAGAGTATTTTCCCAAAAGTCTTGGGGATCATCAAGATGTTTTCTGGCAAAACTGAGACGAGCCTTTATGTTCTTTTTGCTCAGCAGTGGTTTTCGTCTTGGAACTCTGCCATGCAGGCCATTTTTGCCCAGTCTCTTTCTTATGGTGGAGTCATGAACACTGACCTTAATTGAGGCAAGTGAGGCCTGCAGTTCTTTGGATGTTGTTCTGGGGTCTTTTGTGACCTCTTGGATGAGTCGTCGCTGCGCTCTTGGGGTAATTTTGGTCGGCCGGCCACTCCTGGGAAGGTTCACCACTGTTCCATGTTTTCGCCATTTGTGGATAATGGCTCTCACTGTGGTTCGCTGGAGTCCCAAAGCTTTAGAAATGGCTTTGTAACCTTTTCCAGACTGATAGATTTCAATTACTTTGTTTCTCATTTCTTCCTGAATTTCTTTGGATCGCAGCATGATGTCTAGCTTTTGAGGATCTTTTGGTCTACCTCACTTTGTCAGGCAGGTCCTATTTAAGTGATTTCTTGATTGAGAACAGGTGTGGCAGTAATCAGGCCTGGGTGTGGCTAGGGAAATTGAACTCAGCTTTCCAAAGATGTGATAAACCACAGTTAATTTATGTTGTAACGGGGGGGGCAAATCACTTTTTCACACAGGGCCATGTAGGTTTGGATTTTTTTTTTTTTCCCCTTAATAATAAAAACCATTTAAAAACTGCATTTTGTGTTTACTTGTGTTATCTTTGTCTAATATTTAAATTTGTTTGATCTGAAACATTTAAGTATGACAAACATGCAAAAAAATAAGAAATCAGGAAGGGGGCAAACACTTTTTCACACAACTGTAGATGCATAATGACGCATTTGAACACATTCAATATTTTTGTTTCCCCCACTATCGTCATTTTTTGAGAACACATCAGACTCGAAAATGTAAAAGTGAACATTAGTAAATTTGAATTTCAAAGAAGTCATTGAAGAGGACTATGCTCAACATGTCATGAAGATCCTTGTCATCCATGGAAATGCAACACAGAAAGGCTTCACTCCTGACAATCGTGTTCATCGTCAGAGGGAAAAGAGGTTCTTGATGACTGTCAAAGTGTGGCAAAGACTTGCCTTCTGCTCATGGGCTATATCTGTGTATCTAAGTGTTAAGCAATACCCATCGTTTCAAATTAAAAGTGTTTGTTAAATGACTAAATGTTTGTTGTGTTAAATTTCTTATTGGCAGCACTGATTTAGAAATGTTTTGTCTGGCAATGCCAACCAGATTATATGTTTTGGTATTTGTGTGTCTGTCAGCAGTGACCTCTTTCACCAGTTAACAAGTAAAGCTGCTGTAGTTTAAAAGATGTTTTGTAGAAGCCTTATGTTAAGACAATTTTATTAAATTAACAGTAGCCCAGTTTAAAAAAAAAAATGCAACATTCATATTTGAACAGTTGTGTAGAGTAGTAGTAGATAAAAGATATACTGTGTAAATATTACTTAATATTTCTCAATTGAAAAAGTAAAGAAAAGCTAGTTAAATATACATGTAACACCTAATTGAGTTTTACTGGGGTTTTGTAATTGGATGCAAAGGTAGCCTGAGTAAAGATTACTGTCAAAGGCTAAGTACATTTTATGTCTAAGGAAGACATTTGCAAGTAAAAGTTACTTGAAAATTTTGGATAAAAAACAATTCTTACTAGTAAGTAAACTTAACTTGAGAATTCCTGAGTAAAAATTACTCAATTTCTGAGTGCAAATTGTTACCTAGCTTTTTTTCAAGTAAATGTCACTTTTTTTTTTTTTTTTTTTTTTTTTTTTTTTTTTTTTTTTTT